TGAAAACAGAGTTTAAAAGTATTTATTTTTATGAAACAACTTTTTATTTCCGATATTTATAATGCATTTCACTGTTTGTTTTTAAAACACATTTTTCTTTTAATTTCCACTAAATATAGTGTTTTTTGTATTAATTTTTCAATATAGAGATATATAAAGGTTTTGTTCATTTAATAAATATGTTTATTATATAAGAGTTAAAACATTAATTGCAAACATAAAATGAGATACTTATAAATTGGTAGTACAGTATTTCCTGCTGTGTTAATATTGTTAAGTATTGTGCGAATGGTCACAAACAACCGAGTATTTAAGTCACAGTTGATATGATTGGCCACAATTTGGATATGTGTGTCCATTGGCACGAGTACTGGTTTAGTGGACAAATTTGGTATCTATTGTTACGGCAATGTCTATACAGTATGGCATAAGTTACTACTCTTTGATTATAATTTGTAATTTACAAATGTTTCGTTAATTATATTTTTCCATTCAAACGTTGAATAAAAATTTGTTTTTTAAATTGAATAAAACCAAAAGTATTAGTGATTCAAAGCTTAAGAGGCGATTCGTTGGCTCTTAAGTGTAACTCTTAAATGAAAATGAAAACGAAAGCATTCACTCATTTCGTGATTCAAAATATTTCAAATGTGATGAAAAACATTTTATTTTTAAGCAAACATTTAGTCAAACAATTTGTGACAAACATTTCACTCACGAAAACTAACACAAAAAGATGAAATCATTAGCTTTTTTTCAGTCAAACGCTGGGTTTAAGTTCAAAAAATTGAAAAATATGTCAAAGTTTTGCCAATAGATTATCCCTAAAAAATATGCTCATTAATATTAATGCTATACAGTATAGCCACTTATAAGCACGTGTACTGTATATCGCACTTGAGATTATCTTCACTATAAGCCCATTAAACTCGTGGTAAATCTCTCACAAAAAATAATTGACAAAAGATTAACCATTGATTCCGTAATTGTATATAACAAGTGATTTATTGTCTGGGATTAACTTATCGGAGAAGTATTGTTTGAAAATAAGCTTCTAATGGATTATCAAACTCTGGTTTTGATCTTCGGTTCCGTCTTTAGATTAGTGTCCACTTTGGCGGCGATGCACAGACGCGGCCGCACTATTCAAAGCCCGCACTCGGCGGTAGTCAAAACACGTGGTCGATCGCACTCCGCCCCACACGTGTCGCCGTTTGGGACGTCGGCCACAGACCTGACGCCATCCGCTCTGCCGGAAGGCGTCCGTTATATCTGTCAGACGCCGAACGGTATCTATCGTCCGATCACTTATCGGTCGGCGACTGTTGTTAAAGATCGCGACCCATCGCCCGCTAAAAGTATCACATTTGCCGAACCCCTGGTATTGGCCACTCGACGGCGGGCCAAGTCGTCCGAACGCATCGACAGGCCGTGTCGACAGTCCAGACAACGGCTCAATCGGCCGGTCATCAAACCGATCGACATTCCCGATGGCGAAGACCACACGGTCTCTAAGAGTCCGCCCACTGGTCACACGTCGCCAATATTCGCGTCCAGTTATGTCTTCGGCGGCGATTGTAACGCACCTGTAGTTAAACCCGTAACCAATTGCGTCCTATCGAAGAGTGTGTCCCACGAGTCGATCCTCAGAATCACAGATCCCGACGATCGTAGGATTCAAGAGCTGTGGGAAGAGATAGCGTTCCTCAAGAGTAAGCACGCGAAGGGAGAGCTCGTATCGCACGTCACGCTCTGCCATAAGCCGTCTGACGATAGTGTCGAGAGTATCAAAAGCGTTGAGCCAAAAGTCATCCGCACCTACAGTATTGGGACCAACACTTCCGCCACCCGAAGCCAGACCTGTAGTAAAGCCACCAAACCTTGGTTTGTAAAGTTCCCGAAAACGTGTAGCACTGGGACAGAGACGTTGACCCCAGCCGTGAGTCCCAAACCGGTCCTTAAGAATACGGGAACCGAAATGTCATTCTCGGGGATGTCATCGAAGACCACTCGTGAGGAATTGTGGAAAAGTAATAAACTCGAAAAGAAACAGAAGGAACTGTTGGAAGAGATCCGCAAATACAAGGAGAAACTAATTGCACCCAAGTATAATGATAATAGCAATTGGGATAGCAATAACACTGTGGTTACCAAAGAGGAAAACAAAGATAATGAAGAACCCGATTGGGACAACCAGTGGTAAACTTAAACACATTTATATACAACCGATTGATTACTATTTAAATACTTGTGTATTTGTTGACATATTTGGCATGTATTAGCGGCAATGTTAATATAGCATTAAAATGTTTAATTACAACACTATAATTAAAAAGTTTAATAAAAATATTGTTTTTCTAATTAAATAAAACGATAAAAGCATTAGTGGTTTAAAGCTTAGACGTGACCACAATTTCGTTGACTACATGTTTGGCACTCTTCTCCGTCTTCTCCGACGTCTGTCTGATCCGAATGTTTGCGAATTTGAAGACATTTGACAAATAAATGTTATATAAGGACATCATTGGCGCCTCAAATGCCAAATGCGTTGCGACCGACACTCCGATACTAATCATGACATTCACCAGGAATTCACAAAACTAGACATTTTAAGAGACAATTATGAACAAAAAATTAGAGCTCAAAAGTAATATACAGTAATGATTAATACCATAGTGTAGTGACTGAAGGGAAGTGGTTGGCGATTGTAGGCATAGCGGACCCAAATGACCAGAAAATGCATCAAATAGATCATAAAGCTGAGTTTGCCTAATGGACCGAACAGTGACCACGACAGGAATGTGTTGATCGGACCTGATTTACAACACAATCGTATGAAGTTTATTCAAAATTGACAGTATTTGGGATACAACAAAATATGGTAATTTAGCCATATATACCTCCATTGCCTGTGGTGCAGCCGAATATAATCCAGGCCACACACAATGACCAACCGGTGCGGTGTAGGCCGGCGTAAAGGGCGCCCGCTATCGGGTCCCATATCTGACCCCTGTTTAGTGTATACGTTGACAGCATTATTGTTAAGCATCCGAATAGGGCTGACATCCAAATGAACAAATTGAGGAACTGGTGGATAGAGTGGCAAATTGTCACAATTGTTACAATTTGTTTTTGTATTTAATACCGGATTTATTTTAATTGTTTTGTGTTTAAACACATAATATCCGAGAATGAGACCAACGAAATACGGGCCCAAATGAATGTATGTATTGACGTATAGCGTTGACGCCTGATTGTAGACATCCCTGTCCATGGATTATCAATTAACATAAATTAGTCATATTTTTATGACAATTATGGCTTACCGTTCATCGGGTGTATTGTAGAGAACAGTAGGATTTTGGGCCATAATATAAGTGCGAACAGCGATGGCCAGAGAGTTGGCGGTCGCCACAAGAATTATCAGTTTGATTCCCAGATTCGGATTCCTATTGTTTAGTATTGAATTAAATAGTTATTGAAACAATTTATTGATTACTAAAACAAATTGACTTTAAATACTTACTTATAGAGAATAATCACGAAAATGAGTGAAAACATAAAGAGCTGAATATCGGCCGACAAATACCACGTGTGAAGTAAACACATCTGACTTTCGTCGTACCAGTTGTTGATAAATGTTAAGGTTGTCCACCAATTGGTGTAGCATTTGTCGAGTTGGACCTCAAAGTACTCCTTCCAAAGGGGACCGCTGGCCAGCGACGGAACCAAGAATATCAATCCCAATGTCATCGCCACCGACGGCCAGAAGCGGAAGAATCTGTTCAATATCTGCTGCAAAACATTGATCCGACCGTCGGTTTTGGTCATCCGATGAAAAAGACTATAACTGGTGAGCATCGCGCCGACCAGGAAGAATGTGTCCACTAATACCCAGCCATTGAGTATCAATTGAAAGCCCAATTCCTCGACAGTGAACATAAACTCGCGGACAAAAGTGAAGGTCTCTTTGATTGGTATGAGATAAGTGTGCGTCCAAATGATCCAAAGCATAGACAACACTCTAATGCCATTAATGCACTCAATTGGGCCCAAAGAGGAGCGGGTGGTAGTCGTGCCGAACAGAATCTTCCCGTTTTTGTAAACTGAAAACGATAAAAGTGTTGCCAAAAGCAGTTTTCCTATCGATAAAGCAAATAAAACATTAATCAAATCAATCGTCTTATTAGATAAAGTGACACATATATTGTGACAGAATATTCTGTGCGACACAAATAATTAATATTTATTACTTAATCTGGTCTCGAAGCTGATGAATGGTATGTAGTTCTTGTCGTTGGTGTAGGCGATGATTAGGTCAACACTTGTCGCTAATATCATCAACGATAGGACGACAGCGAAGATGACAACAATCGTGAGTTGCAATG